AATAAAACAAGCAAACAAACCAAATAAGACAACAAAAATGGAGAATTGGAAAGTACTTGATTGTTGTTTGAAAAGTGCCGAACATGGGGTGTCAGGGTATCTGGTGAAGAATAGTATTAAGGAACCTTATGTTAGTGGAGTTTCCTACTATTCATTGCATCAAGATTCACACCCTGGTTCTTCGGTTGGCTGTGATTTGGTCCTAATGGACTAATCTGATACAATTTAGTCTCAAGTGTCACTTGTAAGAAACAAAGCCTATAATGAAGCTATTCTTCATTGGAAATGCTGCCTTCTGAAGAGATTAATGTTTTACTGGAACCCTTCAGTCCTTGCATCAGGACTATTGTCAAAGAGTAAGACAGCCTCCTTTTCACTCTGCCTGTTTCCTCTCACACCATGTGCTCTTACCCAAATGCCCCATCCATGAGACCATTTGCAATGATATTACATTACCAGGTTTCCAAGAGCAGAGGACAAACAGATGAAACTAGACCATTTGTCCTTTCAAAACAGTGAGCAACTGAAAATAGTCCTTCGTGTCTGATTATGATAGTTTGGGGAGGCACATTACTACTGATTTTAATCTGTGTATCTACTATCAACATCCATCCATCCATCCATCTATCCATCAACCTATGGTTATGCAAATGTCTTGTTTCTTACAAACACTTGTGGTTCAACAATTGTTCAAATATAACTTTCCAAAGTCAAAAGGTGAAAGAAAATAAATGTGTCATATGTCACTTTGTCAGTTATGGCATGAGCCTTAGAATGTTGACATCAGCGGTCTGTCGCCATGACTACAACAGAGACCTCAGACTTCAGTGGTCTACCAACTGCTGTGGTCATCTTTGGTGTTTAGTGCCAAGGAAGGAAACGATAAGTTCACTTTCATCGAAAGGTTCTCCATTCCAGTCTCTACTGTAAAGGTATTTTTAAAAATAGTTTTGATTCTTTTTTTCATAATTTTAAAGTTTACTTTCAAATATAAATATTTCCCAGTATGTAACAGGTAAAGAAAATAGCATATTGATTTTGTGGTTGTATTTTTATTTTCCAAGTAATACTGATTAAAAATATTTACACACCTACCTTTAAGTCCACAGTTTAGCACTCTTATTTGTATGGCTTTAAAAGTTATAGCACAAAATCTTTACATTAAGGATTAGGGGAAAATATTCCATTCAAAACAAAGCCTGATATAGTATATACATACTTTTTCTCTGTGCTTTATTTTAAATACATTAATTTAAAAATGATGCTCATCTTATTTTTTTTTCAATCTGGTGGTAAACACTAGTGAAACTTCTCATCAAAATAAAGTTTACCATAGATGTAAATGAATTTTCCAATTGGAAAATGGCCCTTCAGCTACCGTTAAATGAAAACATTTCAGTGTAACTTGAAGGAAAAGGAATTGGTAGTTATTATAAGCAAAAATACCAAGTACCAGAGAAGTTGACACTGCTCCTTAAAACACAAACTATGAAAGAGCCAGAGCCAGAGATGTTTTACTGAAGTTTTGTTTCTCTCTCTCTCTCTCTCTCTCTCTCTCTCTCTCTCTCTCTCTCTCTCTTTTCTTCTTTCTTTCACATTCTAGAAATTCTGTCACCACCATTTCTATTTCAGAGACAACATTTGTAACTACTGGATAGACAAGAATGTTGTTCAAAATAAAGCCAGCCAGATCCCAAATGTTAACTGCACAGTAACAATGCATTTCCCTCATGTAGTTTTGTGTTGCCTACAGACTCAATTTCCTAACATGCATTAGAATACAATGATATGTATTCTTATGGTTTTATGTATGATTTCATAATATGCAAAGAATTTAAGGAAGGACGTGACCTGGGGAAGAGAATAAGGAGACCCTTACCATAATGAAAATAGATGCATTCGTACCCAACTATATATAAGAATATAATTCATTTAAGTTACCAGAAATATACTTTTCAAAGCTCCCACTTATTATGAGAAATATTCCCACTCTGTGGCATTAACTGGAAGGAAGGACAACAGTCTATTTCCATAGAAACAGTTCAGCACAACAGGAAATAGTTGGTCCACTTATCTGATAGCTTAAGGTCATACTGCCTATCAGTTTACCACAAATATAAATTTAAAAATATAATTGTTACTTCATTCTAAAACTGGCATAGATGTTCTATCATTCTCTGCTTTTCCAGCTTGGGAATATTCTCTTGGTTTATTCTCTAACCCCTCAGCATTTTCATGATCTTCCATGGCAGCCTCAGCAGCATCTGCATGGCTAGGCTCACTCTCCTTTTGGCTCATGATTTTGGGGGTCATGTGATCTGAGTCAGCTTCTAGAAGCTCAGTTTGTACTTCAACTGGCATGAGTCTATAAAGTACATACAGAGCACAGGTTCTTCAGATGAGTCCGCACTAGCACTCTTGGCAGATATTACCAGCAAGTACCGCCAAGGTGAAAGTAATGAACAGATTAGTGAAGATGACTGTGCATCTGACCCCATAAGCAAACAGGTAGTTTTGATTCTTATGATAAAGTAATGGTGTCAGGAAGTATTCTATGTTTTTCTGTCTGTCTATCTATCTATCTATCTATCTATCTATCTATCTATCTATCTATCTATTATCTATCGATCTTTTTCTATCAGTCTTCTATTTATCTGTGGTTGTGAACATAAATCTGTGTTGTTCCTTATAAATACTTGTAGTTCAATAGTTATTCAACAATAATACTTCAAGCCAAAAGATGGAAGGAAATTAGTGTGTTACTTTGTCAGTTATGGCATGAGACTTAGAATGTTGACATCAGTGGTCTGTCACCATGACTACTACAGAGACCTCAGACTTCAGTGGTTGGTCTACCAACTGCTGTGGCCATCTTTGGTGTTTAGTGCTAAGGAAGGAAAAGATAATTTCACATTCTTTGAAAGGTTCTCCATCCCAGGCTCCAATGTAAAGGTATATTTTAATAAGTAGTTTTGATTCTCATGATAGACGAATAGTGTCAAGAAGTATTTTACCTTGATTCCTCCAGGTCATATGAGTTAATTCTTAACTCAGCAGTGGCTTCCTACCCATTAACAGTATTCACTACCATTCTCCTAGATAAATAGTTATCATGTCAGGGGACATATGTTCTATGCTATATAGTAGAATAGTGTCTGTAAATCTATAAAGTTATCTGTCCATGTTATGAAAGATAGTTATTTTCTGCTCCTTCTAATTGTTTTTCCCACTATGACCACAAAGGATTGTTGGAAACAGGTCAGATTTCAACCCAAAATATAAGAACTCTCTGGTTTTCAACAAACTTGTTCCCAACATGTATTGTGTTCTTTAGAATATTTATCAATATTTTAACATTGATTCAGATTAAAATGACTTTCCAAAAATGCCCATTTACTTTCATATTTGTTTATCATGAAACTGAGTAGGTATTTTTTTTTAACATCTTTGCATGTGTGAGGACATGTGCTTGACGTGTGAGGACAACCATTGGTTCTTGTCTCTCTTTGACTCTTTGATTCACAGGGATCTTAATGCTAAATAAAGGCTATGGTGTTTCTGTATATATTTCTAAAAAGATACATATTTTGGGCAGACTAATATTCACTTTAAAAAGAAAAATTCTGAATATTCAAACTGTATGAGCATGGCACAGTAAAGAAAGCACTAAAATAGCTGCACAATAATTACAGGAAAGAATTTTTTTGTAGATAAGAGAGAACGTTCAGAGTCTTCTGGAAGAATTCAGAGCAGAAATTCAAAGAAACAGACTTGATGTGACCAAAATAGTCTGTGAAAAAAAGGGGGGGGGGTGGATAATAGGGGAGGTAGCTGGGATAGGGGGGAAATACCTTGACTTCATAACAAGAGGAGTTTGAGAATATTTTGGGAGTTTCCATAGTTAAGAAGGAAATAGGGGTGGTTGTGAAGGGACAGGAAAGTAGGTAGGGATATGAGATATACAGCAAGTACTTTTTAATAGAGACAAAGGGAACCTGGAGGGCAGCATGGGTGCTGATATTCTGATAGGAGCCAAAGGTCAATGGAGAGCCATATGTCCCTTTTGCCAAAGGCAAGAGAAATGACTCCTTCTGCTGGTTAAGAACCATTTCTTAAATTCTGAATGAATGCTTTTTTTTTGTTTTTGTTTTTTTTTTTTATTAGTTTTTGTTTTGTTTTGTTTTCTAACCCCAAAAAGTCATTTAGGGTTAACAATGACATCCATGTTGCTACTCCAATGGCCAATTTCCAGGAGTCACCCACTTTGTCCTTCATTTAATGTTTGATATTGATCTCTCCTTTCTTGTGAATCCCTCTAGTGTGTGAATATTTCTTCTTCTCTCCAATAGGATGCCTTGTAATTGTTTCCTTTTATTTTTAAATCATGAATAATGTTAGTAAATCCAACTATTTTTTAAAAAATTGGATATTTATTACTCAAATTTTAAAAAATGATTTTAAATGAGATAGAATTACATCACTTACCCCTCTCCTCACTTTAAACCAGTTATTAACCTGTCGGGAGTGACCATTTGCTGGTCTCTTATCAGATATTCTACACATCAGATATTTACATTAGGATTCATAACAGTAGTGAAGTTATGGTTATGAAGTAGCAACTAAATAATTTTATAGTTGGGGTATCCCCACAGCATGAGGAATTGTATTAAAGGGTCACAGCATAAGAAAGGTTGAAAACTACTTATCTAGACCCTCTAGCTACCTTTGTTCAAAGTTTTCCCGTCACCTCAAAAAGATACCTTCTGAAAAAAAAAAAAAGTCCACTCCTGCAATCTGTTCCCAATACTTCTTTTTCCTAAACAAGCTCTTCTTTTCCACTACATGTTAAAACTATCAATAACTCATCAGAGTCCTGGTGGGGAATTGAGCCTGTATTTTAGTATCATTCACCCTTTGAAATTAGGTATGAAACAATAATCACTGAATATCTATTCTGTTAGTTGGAGATCTGGACCAAGAGAAGCCTTTTTTTTTTCCACATGGAAACCCTCCAGGAGAATGCCACGGGAGGGACACATCAAACCTTGCTGTGTCAAGGCCCCGTGGAACTCAGAAGAGGCTGGAGAAGGAAGAAACAACATCTCTCCTTGTTCAGTGATGTTTTGATTGTGTCTGATAACCTGTGAGTATGCACATCATGCCTTCCTTACTATGAGAGGCTACACTTTGATTAAGCATTACTGTATAAAACTACAAAAGATTTTTGTTTCTTTTAGTTTTTGAGATTATAATTACCTCATTATCATTTCCCCCTACCCTTTCTTTCCCCACATATTTCCCTTCTTGCTATCTTTCAAAATCATGGCTTCTTTTTTATTAATTGCTGTTACATATATATGTATAGTAACATACATATTTACATACATTTATATATTTTTTTTCAAATATATAAATATGAACTACTCAGTCTGATATTTATATTTATTTCAGAGCTGTCTATATGCTCTTTGTAGGGGAAGAATATTTCTCTTACTCTCAAAATTCTTTTTTGGCCTTTGAGTAGGGTTCAGGCTTGGTGGCTATTCCCCTGCACAAATTTCTCACTCTGTTTTCACAAATGTTTTAGTCATATTATAAAAACATGAATTATTTGACATGCTATTTTGCTTCTTGAGCCTGGGGAAAGAATAGCAACAAACTTGCAAAGAAGGCTTCTATGGTCGGTAGCACATGCCAGCAATTCTAGTACATTGGAAGCTGATTTATGAGTATTGCATGTTTGTGCATCTTGTGGACTAGTGTGAGGCATCTTCTCAAAACAAAAATTTAAAAACATGATAATCATGGACCCTCTTGCTTTGTGTTGATAGAGATTGTAGAGACAAGAGGGGAAATCCCTGATTATGATGGTCGCTCATGAAGGGCCACACATGTGCACTTCTGTGAGCTCATAACACCCAAAGCAGTGTGAAGAGATGAGAAGCAGCTACTATCCCTAAAGAAATGAGGAGAAACTGCAGGCATCAAGAATTTTCAGACTGTAGATGCTAGAGAGAGGTGTGCTGTGATTGAAGCTCTATACATGGTGGTATTGTCTCATATAACCATGGAGATATTTTCTAGGACCACATCTCCAGAGGCCATGATCATATCCTTCATATTATTGTGAAGTGTGTGTAAGAGATACTGACCTCATCAAGTCAATATTTTAAGATGTGCTCCCATAAATAGGTAAATGGATTAGAGGACAGGCATCAATAAAAAGTTCATTTGGTTTTGGGAGCAAACTTCCTTGTTGTCAGTGAATAATATTGCTGAGGATCTACTTCACAAATTGTGAGAAAAATGCAGGGTGTGGGAGAGAGTTCTACTCTATAATATAGTCACAACCTAGAGGGTACATTTTCCTCCAACCCTGAAGAGTCACACAAAGTTGCCAGTTTCTCAGAACACTTTTGATAATATCTGAATCTTGATGGAAAGACATTTCTAATCATTTGACTAGGTTATTGGAAAACACAATCCTCTGTGTGGTTAGTTGTATGAGAGCACATCATGGGTTTACTAAAATAGCCCTTGTATTGAGCCCAGACTCTCCTGAGCAATTGCTGACATGACTCATTAATACAGGGAGGACAGTGGAATATGATTTTTATTAAGTCAGACAATATTTCCATATTATTTATTTTGAAAAGATCAGTAAACATAATTAAGTAAAAAAATATTTATCTAATTTTCTTGGTTTTAAAGTTATGGAAGTAAACGAGCAAAAAAATTTAGCACTTAACTAAATTGAGGGGAGAAATATTGAAGCACATGGCTTTCTAAAAATGCCATGTATTTAAAATACACAGTATGGTTATTCTAAATACTCACCAATCAGAAAACGACCAGTCTCTGACTATTCTTAGCCACCAAAAGGTATGACCCCCATAACTTCTTTCAACACAGGCTTTGTTGAGGCACATCTACCATGGCATGAGCTGTGCCTGAATGGTAGGAATGGAAGAATCCTCCCCTGCTCTGGAGCAGAAAGAACTGGGTTTTACCACAAGTACTTCCAACTACAATGAAAAGCAAACTAACAGATTTACTTGAATCTCTTTCTAGGCGTAAGAGAAAGTTTACAACAAAATATGTCATCCCACTGCGTTTCCTGTGGATGGGTGACTATGTGGACATACTTGGGACAGACAGCAGCTCTGCTTGCAAGTCCATCCTCCTGTTCTGGCCCGTGGGAAATTTTGTGGCCACCTTTCGGTAAGACCTACAGCTTGGTCCTATGTTTACAAGAGGGTGGCTGTGGAAATTGTGGGTCAACTTGATGCTGCCTAATTCACAGGGAACAACCAAATCAATTAACCCAAAATGTATACAAATTAAGAAACCATTTTAGTTTGATTGTATACAGGCTACCAACTCAAGTTTTTCCCCTCCCATGATGATCCTACTTTAGCTGTACTTTCTACCACACACATTTCTTCATTTAAGTATATCTCTTAGATTTTCATCTGCAATGTTCACCAAGACCCACAAGGTCCTTGGGATAGAAATGAGATGTGCTCTGTTCTTTGAAGGACACAGCCTTACTGCAGTTTCCACATTCTTCTTCCCAAAATGACCTGATATTATCTGGGCTTTGAGAGTACAAAAACTGATCTCTCTTCTGTGATATTGTGTAGTACAATTAAATTTGACAAATAGCTCCTACGTTCCCAAGTTAATTTCCTAAATATATAATATTTAATTGTACATATAAAAATAGTTACTCACCAAAACTCAGGTTCTTGAAAGTTTGTGTTAGGGAATATCATTGCTGTCTATAGTCAATACATGAAAACCAGTGTTGTTAGATTATCACAGTCAGAGTTAAATTATGGAGTACAGGTACATTTCAAATTCACATTCTTCTCTTTCATAAGAGGATGGGAGCAGGATAGACCAACAATACTTGAGTGCAATTGTTGGAATCACAGGGATTGTGTGGCATACACCTGCTCTGGGCAAGCATACAGCAGAAATTCATCATATGCAACCCTCCAATTAGGACTCTACTCATTACTTTCTCCAAACTTCTAACGCCATCACAGCATTGACTCAACTAACATAAGCACTTGCAAGTTTTATAAAGTTTCCAGGTTCTATGAGTTTTCCCTTTACCCAAGAAAGGCATTCCCATAGAAATCTTTGAGGAGAACCAGTGAATCTTAATTCCCACACATTAGGAGAAGATTATGGTTGTGTCATTCTCTGAATATTTTCTTTTCCCTTGTTAATATCCCTGATGATTATCTATAGTTAATTCTTAGTGTTTCTCGACATTGTATATGAGAGGAAGCACTGTATTTAGGGATGTACAAAGAGTTTCCTGACAGCATTTCCATTCAACTTTATTTTTACAAGGAGTGAATTTTGGAAGTCATATTCAGACTAGTTCACATTTAATTAAATATGTGTCAGGTTTTTCCAACTATGCCTATCACTAAGTGCCTTAAAATTTCATGCTAGGTCACTTTTGTAATTTGGTGAGATTAGATGTGTTATCTATGTACATGTGGAGAGGGGGTGTCACAATTATAATCCACCTTTCTGATGAAACTGGTTGCAGGCAGATTACAAAGTGGGTGAGCAGTTTATGGCACATGAGTGGTGCCAGTCCATAGTTCCACAGGAAGTTACAGAGAAAGCACAGACTATGCAGCTCCAAACATGCATATAGGACCAGGGCAAACAGAAGGGTAGCCTGTGCACTAATGTTCTTCACATCATGGATCATTGTCAGCTGGCACAGGTTTGTGAGCAAGGGGAAATGAAAATAGTGAAATTCATGACCAGCCTCCACACTCTGGTGAAGTTCTTAACATGTTAGGTTTTCAGTGCAGATCAATCAGACCCTGTCATGTGGAGAATGCCACCTACACCTGCACCCTCATTGATGACAAGTGACTTTTATTGTTTTTATGAGGAATAGCATAAATGTTTCAAGAGTCTAAACTTTTTCCACTTTTTGCATTACAGTTCCATGGAACAGAAAGATCGGTGGTACTCTTTTCTCCAAAGGTATTTTACTAGTATTTGTTCTTTAATTCCTTAGTAGTATAGGAATGGCATTTTAAATATATCTATATAAACATACAGATAAAATATCTGATAGACTGTCTCCAAATGTGCTGTTTATTAGATGTTCCCTGACTACTGCTTTCATCTCTCCTGTTAATATGCATATTTTGTTTAATTTTGAAGACATTCTTCTTCCCATGCTCTTCATCTTCTTCTCTTTTACCTGTATATTGGGTAAGCATTACTCTCCAGACTTATTTTAAATTCCCCTCAATACAGATTATCTACCATGCACACTCAAACCATCTGTTGCTTCCTTCTTTGAAGTCAAGCAGGTTCCTGCCTATCCCTTGCAGACAAAACATTTGGAGGGTTGGAAATGCTTCTGAAATTAAATCTTAGGGCAATGGGCTACTCCTTAAACATGTCTTTGTTTCTGAAATATTTTTGACTCTTCCTTAATCTATATGCATATTGCCAAACTGATAGTCTTACATTTAAAAACTAACATGATATTGATAAAATGTTAACAATGATTAGCTCAAAATAAGCTACAGCAACTTTATTACTGTAATTTATGTTTTTATTGCATTTAACAGATCCATTAATGAAGCCACAAAGGGCTACAGGAAGCATTTTAAACTTCCAATATTCACTGAGGACATCCCAAACTGTGCCAATGTACGTGACTATAAAACCCAAAATGAAATTTCAAGTTCATGACTAGGAGATTGACAGGCAGTTTGTAGAGCAATGGAAAATGGTGTCATAAGAAGTTGGAGGGGAGAGTGAGTCTGAGAATTCAAGCAGTATTTTATGTGAGAGGTATATGTATATGTCATGCATATATGTCTTTCATATGTGACATGTAGAAAACAACATGAAGCAATATTGATTCAAATTAGCTACAGTGCCAAAAAAGAAAATACAGGTAGCTCCAACAACATCATTTCCAAGCTAATTATTCCTACTGGAATTAATTTTTTTCCAGTTCTTATTGCTTACACATAGACTTATGTGCTGTTTCCACTATTACTTATTCATGTTAAAATACTTTAGGTTTTTTTGGGAGGTGTTTGTTTGTTTTGAGACAGGGTTTCTGTGTTGTTTTGGAGACTGTCCTGGCACTCACTCTGTAGACCAGGCTGGCCTCAAACTCACAGAGATCTGCCTGCCTCTGCCTCCCAAGTGCTGGGATTAAAGGTGTGGACCACAAACACCCGGCCAGAATATTTTGTTTAATCATGAATAATCCCAATCATAGACAATTATCATAAACAAATTTGAAGCAAAACATTATCAAGAATTTTATTCACTCTCCATATTCACCTGTTTGATCATATTTTATCGCTTTAACTATGTCCCCTGCTCCTTCTCTTTGTTTCTCACTGTGCATCCTCATAACTGCTTTTGAAGAACAGCTACATAAACATGTGCATCTCATAGGCATAGGGATAACCTTTCATGGAAACTCTTTAGAATTCACCTAATATTGGTGTGTGTGTGTGTGTGTGAGTGAGAGAGAGAGAGAGAGAGAGAGAGAGAGAGAGAGAAGAATCATATTGTACAATCCTTAGGATAAATCTCATGACTTCATACATACTAGGCACTGAGTTACACCCATGTCTATTACTATAATTGTCTCCTTTTCTAATTAGTTTTCTAATTCTTCTATTTCTGTTCCCATTCTATATTGGATTAACTGAAGATCAACAGTTTAACTATTATGTAGAATGCTGAGCATGGAAAAACCTTTCCTACTATATAAACAGGATGTAATCTATCTGAAAGAATCACCACCTTCTGACTTTTATTAATGCTAATGGGTATAAAACACATTTAGAGTCAATATTCTAATGAGTCACTGTTGAAATTGAACTAGAATAACCAAGGTGTGTATGATGAAGGTAGTTTACATCATGCAGCAATTTGTTCTGCATACCAAGTTTACCTTATACAACACAGTACTTAAGGAGAAAAGTGTTGCATAAAAGTGATTTATAGCCTGTAGCATAAATCATGAGAACACTCTAACTAGCTTTGCTGAACCAGATGTGTCTTCAGGGCAGAGAAGAGCAGAATGCCATCAGGTTTTCTTGGCCCTGCTTGCTTGATTTCAGCTGTAGCAAATGTTCAGTATTGTACAGGAGAAATTTCCATGATACCTTAAAACACCATGTAAATAGACCTAATTCCTTTAAAATAAAGTTATCTACCAAGTTGCATCCAAGATTCTGTCGTTTTTATATTTTATCCTGCAATAATTTCTGGTACCCAATTGTGAAGTGCAGATGATTGGCAATGGATATGTATCAGCTTCTTCAAATGATAATGTGTATATTCTAAGAGGTGTTCTAAGAACTTAGAACATTCTTCTAATTTTTTACTACCTAAATACTATCCATCATTTTTCTCCCTCCATGTTTTCTAGTGAGTAATCAACAATGATCCTCTATACATATTTTTATCCACTTCTTTGATGGTTTTCTTTAATTTTCTATTTGTAATTTGTCCTTTTGAGGTTTAACAATGATTCATCTGTGTATTTCATTACATTTTAAACCTATAATTTTTCCTTTGTATAAATTAAGGAAATTAGCTATTCTTATTTTATGACTGTTTTGCCTTGCAACTTTCTCTTTAAAATCCTTAGGATTGAACATAGATCCCTTAGAGTGTTTATATTTTTAAATACATAGATGCAGATGATTATTGAGATTATCATTGATAATTTAATACAAGTATACATGACTACTGCCAACTCAACTGCCCTACTCCCAAGATTACTCCCCAAATCCCCAATCCCTTCCTACCTTCATGTTTTCTCTCTCTGTACTATTTACTTCAAACACACGTGCATGAAATATTGACTTTCTTTTACTTGATCTTGTGTAGATAACAATTAACTGAGCTATCCTCATGAGTCAGTGGTTATGCCATTGCTGGAAGACAGCATTTCATTGTGTGCCTAGTTGATTTTAAAAAATGCTCTCGATATTAGACATGCCAATTATATTATTTAAATTGATCACTGTTTTCATTTTGGTTTTGTAGTATATAATTTCAATATTTACATGCTTTATAATTCTATCTGAGGCTATATATTTTTAATATTAAACATAATTATTTTATATCATTAGGCATAATTATAAAAACTTATCATTCCTCATAATTTCAACACCTGATCTATTGTGAAGCTTATCTTCACTATTAAGAATTATTTATATATCCCTGGTTCATTATGCATCGAGGAATATTGTAACACATATAGCCAAACTCTGTTATATTTTCATTATTCTTTAATAAAATTCATTTTTAGAATGTTTGTTTAAAAGGACTCTCTCAAAATGTGTCTATTTTATGAACAAAATCATCATGAGGAAGAAGTGTACACATTCCTGCAATCATGTTTTGAATTAAAATAGTATTAGCCTATCACACACATTATTTCTGTAAAAAATAATTCATTGTTTTAAAATTATAGAGAAGAGTTTCCACACATTCAACAAAATATCAGAAACTTTATGTATTTTTAAGGTTATTTCTTTCTCTCTCCCTATCTCTCTCTCTCTCTCTCTCTCTCTCTGTGCATTTGTGTGTGCGTGTGTGTGTGCATGGTATATGTGGTATTCTAGTGTATGCATGTGTGTTAAAGTGCCAATGTTGAGTTAAGAAGAAAACTTGCAGGAGTTGGTTGTCTAGTTCCTTCCATCATGTAAGTTTTGTGAGCCCTGGGCTACTTTCTGTCCAGAGATGATTAACTCTACATTCTGAGAGAAAACACTTCGATCCTTCCTAGTTACATTAGTACCACAAGACCAGAGCTCTGCTTTCAGACGTTGAGATGCTTTTCCATAATTCCCAGCCTATAGTTAGTAAGATGTGAAATCAGTGAGTGTAAGAGTCCTTGTTCATAAAGTTCAGTTATGCTATGGTAGGCTTGGGCATCAATTTTCAGCACTGTACACACACTTTACTTTCTAGGTAACTGGTTATACCTGGCAGTTAAAGGTTGATACATAGAAATGCCTTCAGTTTTGCTTCAGTGTTGCTGTTAAGGATAGGGAGATGGCACTTGTGCTGCTTTCTTCTCTCTCTAATATATTTTTTAAATTTATTTAAATTAGAAGCAGTCTTATTTTAAATATCAATCTCATTTCCCTCTCCTTCCCATGCCCCCCACAGAGTCCCCATTCCAACCCCCTGTCCACTCCCCAGGGAGGGTGAGGTCTTCCATGGGGGGATCTTCAAAGTCTGTCACATCTGCTGTGTATCTGGGCTGAGGCAGTATCTCTCCATAGGGAATGGGCTCCCAAAGTCTGTGTGTACGCTAGGGGTAAATACTGGTTCCACTGTCAGTGGTCCGATAGATTGCCCAGGCCTTCTAACTGGCACCCACATTCAGAGGGCTTGGTTCTGTCCAATGCTGGTTCCCCAGCTTTACGACTGGGGTCCTTGTGCTCTCACTTGTTGAGGTTAGCTGTTTCTGTGGGTTTCTCCAGCATGGCCTTGACCCCTTTGCTCATCCCTCCTCCCTCTCTGCAACTGGATTCCAGGAGTTTGGCTCAGCGCTTAGCTATGAATCTCTGCTTCTACTTCCATCAGCTACTAGATGAAGGCCATAGGGTGGCATTTAAGGTAGTCATCAATCTCATTATAATGGAAGGGCATTTAAGGTAGCCTCTCTACTATTAGTTAGATTGTTAGTTGTGGTCATCTTTGTAGATCTCTGGACATTTCCCTAGTGGCAGATTTCTCTTTAAACCTATAATGGCTCCCTCTATTAAGGTATCTCTTTCCTTGTTCTCCTTTATTCTTCCCCTGACTCAGTCTTCTTGATTCCTCCTGTTCCCCTCCCCCTCCTCTTCCCCATTCCTCTTTCTTCTACCTCCCTCCCCACTCCCCCTTGCTCCCAATTTGCTCAGGAGCTCTTGTCCCTTTTTGCTTTTCTCTTTTAAAGAACTGTTTCCTAGGGTCTTGCAACCTTCACTGAAGATATACTTGCTGTTATAGAATCAGTGTGCGTAAAATATACCTATCTACTCATTGTGTTCTATGGTGACATATTAGAATTCCAATATATCAGTGTTATCAAAAGATTTCTATCAATTGGTTTCATGCGTTTTCCTACACATGTGAGAGACAGCAGAAAGCTAATACTTAAGCACCACATTTGTTCTTAAGAGATGGGGTTTCATTTCTAAACTATTCATTTTGGATTCCTAGATCTATCACCTACTTGAATATTGTTTATTTGCAGGGCCTTATATGGAGAAAGTGATCATCCATATTGGTATTGCCAAACAAATTGCAGCTAGTTCTTACCCCGATTTTCGTAGACCTGCACAAAATGCTGTGCATGACAGTCAGGTTGTTACATGATGGAAACACAGCTGCGGCAGGAGGAGAGGGGTTCACCCCCCCACACACACACATAAGTAAAGAAAATTCAGAACACTGACCTCCAGCACCCTGGCTCCTCAGTCTCCATTTATCATAAAAAAAAAAAAATAAATAAAAAAAAAACCTGTGGTGTTTGAGTACCCAGTAGCTAATACTTAAATTTATTAAATTCCGAGTTATGTTATATAAAGGGAAGCAAACAAGATATTTATTCTGCATTAGACTAGTCATTACTGCTTGTAGAGTATATAACTGATTAGACAATAACTATGTAATCACATGCTTTTGAGTTATTTTATACCATTATTTTTCTCTGCAACTTTTATAGCCTTTATATGTGACAACAACAGACTTGGAGACAGTGAATGATGTTATCCAGAAATTACTACCCTTGACAGGAATGCCTGTAAGTTACTTTCAGTCTAATTTTGAGTTAAATTTGGGTTTTGTTTTTGAGATCCACAAATGTGTATAAGTATAAATTTACAAATCATATTTTACTATCTCCTTTTGAAATTGATGTATCTAAGTTATAATGATAGATATTTTGAGGGTCATTTTTCTTGGATATTTGTCTAAGGTTCATGTGAAATGAAACTTATAGCCCACTGGTATTGAGCTATACATTTAGTTTTATTATATGATTAACACTTTATATGTAATACACATTTAAGATTATTTGGTTGATTCCACACACCAGATTTAAAGAATATCAATCTTAGAGAGAATGAGGTTTTTCTTCTCCTTTTTTCCCGATTATACTGTCCTTTCTATTTGGTATAAATTCCTTCTCCTCTCATTTCCTTCTTTTTTCATTTGTGTGTTTGTAGACATCCTCTCTGCCACTTTGTGTGTGTCAGAGGATGGTAGAGGTGAGTTTGTCTGGTTTAGTATATTTGTCTGCTAGTTCTTATAATGTCATTGTCTTTATTCAGGAATCAACAATAAAGTAAAATTAATGAAAACTCCAGTTAAACCATATTTTCACTTTATCAATTCCTGTAGGATACTAAATATTTCAACAGACATTTCTCTTTAGATGGTTTTTCCCCCCATAGGGATCCTTGCACTTTGTACAGTAATTATATTGTAGAGCTTGTTTCCACATCTGGCCTATTTTCTATGTTAGACACATGTCCTTTCTCTCTATAGGTTGGACATCTCTAAAAAAAAGTTTTTGGTTTTTTTGTTTGTTTGTTTGTTTTTTGTTTTTTTTTTTTTTTTTTTACTCCTAGGCATCCTCTAAGCCTGTCTGCTGTTTTTTGTCCATTTTGCCCAGTGTTGCTGAAGTTACTGTATCTTTCAATGATAATTGCATAAGAAGTCATATGCACTGAGGTTGTATGGCTCTCTAGGTACTAGGTTGTTGGGCATTTAAAGTCAAACTTCAATGTTCCACACACAGTTTGGACAAAAGATATAACAGATCTTTGAATAACATTTTTCTTGATAAGTTTTGATGGGTGAATGTAATTTTGTAATCCCATGTTATTTAGATCCTATTGTGGATCTAAAGACTGAGACTCCATCAGAAAGGGAAGGCAAGTACCCAAGGGTTTTCTCCTGAAATCATCCCAGATGACTCAAACCTGTAGTCAGAAGGCATACCATTTAACACTGTTCCTAATAATTTTCCTGCTAGAGATCTGGGAATGGTAAGGGAAGACAGTCCTCAAGAGTCCTCTGTAAGGATTATGTGTGATGGTTGGTTCTTTCTGTCTCCTAGAGTGCTCAAGATTACCAACTGTGGTTCTGTCGTGGCCATGAAAAAGCCCCAGGCCTACTCCAAGGTAAGTTACAGGGAAATCTAAAGAGAGGCTAACCAAGTTCAGTGTTCTCACACTGAATTCTCAATGTTTCATCATTCAGTCTTAAAGCTAAATGTGCCTTAAAATAAAACAACTGAAACATTCATTCATTCCTTCAATTCACAATTACCAACTATTGAATATAACCCAGCCACAGGATACCATCTCTTTAGGCAATAGTCTATGTTATGGTGAAAACAAAACAAAACAAAACAAAACAAAACAAAACAAAACAAAAAACCCAAACCTGGAAATTTCTGGTGCATTTCTACTTGAGAATTTTTTTTTTAAAAAAAGACAAGGAAAACAAGACTTTGGGTGTCTTCTTTCTGAAGAGAAATAGTTAAAATTGCTCTATTGTTGAAGATTAAAGACAATCCTAGGGGCTAGAGAGATGCCTCGGTGATAAAGAACACTTGTTGATTTGTTGGTTTTGCAAAGGGCCTGGTTTTGATTCCAGACACCCATAGCCATCCAGTTTCTGGTCATCTGATTCCCTCTTGTGATATACACGAGAGCAAAAATCACTTACATAAAACTCAAACTCAAATAAAATTCAAACACTTTTAAAGAATAGTCTGTTTGCTCCAAACTGTGTATTGGAATGAAAATGAGAAATCTAACCGTTTTTCCAAATCCATGTAAATATATTGAGCTCACAGCTCACATCTCTCTATGACCAGTATTTCCTCCACTGTGTGAGAGATATTCATGTTCAGACTTCTGGAGCCTTCCTGACAGAATTACCTGCTATTCCATGTTTAATTTTTCTGGATTTTTTCACGAGATTATAGACACATAAGCAGTAATAATAGAAGGGTTATTAGAAGCATTTTGATAAGAATTAAAAATCTGAGATTACCAAGTGCTCTCATGAGGCTGACCTTTCAAAAGCTACTGAAAAAATGACCTTCAGACAAGTAACAATGAGGATGTCTGTTGGAGAGATGAGAGGACATTTCCTTGTTGTTCAAGCCTTCCTCATATATCCTGAGAATAATCGCTGGGGACACTCTTGCTTATTCAAAGTAAGCTAAAATCAACCATTTTTTCAACATTTATTTTCAGGGTTTCAGTACGTTGGGCAATATCAGGGACATAATCCACCCACACATTGGTATTTTTTTTTCTTTATGGAACATAGTATTGATATCAGGACCAGGCAGGTCAGGGGCTCCTGATTCACACTGTCACAATCAAATAAGTGCTTGGAATAGAGGCATGTGCCAAAAACGAGCCATGACCTTTCTGTTTTCTATAATGTGACACAATTGCAATTCCCAGTCAGTGATAAGACAGATGTGGGTATGGGGCAAATTCCAAAATAAATTTAATTAGTGAAATGTGTCAACTTGATATATTAATTCCAGTGTTTGGAAGAGCTTTGTACATCATGAATGCTTCAGAAATCCCAAATTTTAAAGTCCTGCTGATTTTTCAGCACTCATTTTGAGTGTGTATTTCAATCCACAGGCCATACTTATTCAGTTCACTCATGCCTGGATTGTTCCATATTGATGCCCTGGAAGCCTCTAGTCTACTAATTTAAATGTTACAGGAACTCTTGATCTGACTGTAGCACTTTCATTGTATCTGTGTCAGAAGGAAAGGCCAAGTAAGAGCTTATCCCCATTGTTAATGAGAACTGGACAAGGGCGAGATTTCACATTTCTCAGAAAATTATATCCACATCACAGCACAGACGCTTTAATATGCCATTGGAGAAGAAAAAATGTAAACCTTTGCAAGGCAAATAAAACGTCTAGACATTGATTCCAACTTTGTAGTTGCAATTCTAGCCCGCAGTCACCGATTGTCAGAACACAGTCCAAGAATGGAGTCTTATGAGAATTCTGAGCACTTGTGAGAGTACTCCAAGAAATCAAGACAAAGGTTTCCTCAAAAACACAGAAATGGTCTTGCAGTGGGTTTTTCTGCCCTTCCCAGGTGTAGCAGATGGGAGTGAGTTTACTTCGGCTACTGATATTCATATGCCTGTGAAAAAAAGATGCCACCTCTCCCTTGTCCTTGTGATTGCACACTTTAGTAAGATGACTCTTCTTAACCCTCAGAGTAAAAATTGTCTGATGCCCTCAATGAAGCTGACCACTACATGAGACTTTAGGCCACCTCATTTTAAGGCCCCACTCCCAGGTTCATGCCCCCCCTAGAGTGGCAATCAACTGTGGTGTGTCTTGGAGGCTTCTGTGTTTTCAAAACCCTATGCATCAACCTGACCATTGTCAGGAAGAACAGGAATGGGAGGAAGCAGAAGCCAATCCATTCCTGTATTTCCGAGAACCATGCCCTCATACTGTGAGTAGAAATAGAGTCTTTTAAATGTGACAGACAACATGAGAGAGAAAAATATTGAGCAGAGCAGTATTTGACATGGTTAACAGAGTTCTTTAAAGACTACCAAACCCAAAACCATATAAACATCTTTCCTTTTTTATAATAAATATCAGTTATGTAATGGGAAATATTTAAGTTGATAGTGATACCCTAGACATGTGAAGTAAGATTCTAATGATGTAAAAATCTTGGTATCAAGGCAGGAACCAGCAGGACTTAAAACTTTCACAGGGGAGCACAGCAAAAGTCCCCCCCAAACAGTGCACTGGTGGGCCTATGTTCTTCAAACATCCCAGAGAGGCTCCTGATGCTCTAGGGTTTACAGTCTTCTTTGACCAGGACACAAGGGGAAATAGAACATATCAGTGTGTGCTAAAGCACATTGGCAGGTTTTCTCACTGTCATTAAACTACTTTCAACTCCTATTCATATTTTATTCTCATAGAGCATGAGCATCTCTATGACATTATAATGAGGAACATTCAAAGCCCCTTCAGTCAACGGGAATCAAGAAATTGCACAGCTTTTCCTGCCCTGCCTGGGCTGTATGTGGAACAACCAGATATACAGGGGCGATTCCTCCTGAAACCCAGAGACCCAACAAGAAACCAGAAGCAGAGCAGTAAGTCCTTGACCTTCCTTCAAGTGGCCTTGCTCAGTTCCAGTTTCTATTCTGTATAAAACATCAATACATAGTGCCACTTCTTGCTTGGAAAGCGGGCACTGTAGAGACAAAACAAAACAATATGCCCCAGGTCATGCTTAAGAGAGCTCTAAGTGCTTCAAACTCAGCTTGTCTATAGGGAGAACATTTCATTCTTCCAGGTAGATGGTCACCAAAGGTGGTATGCCAAGGCACTGCCTACACACAATCATGTGTGCACACATCGTCGGTCCCATTAGAATATGATTTCTAAGACTTGGATCCTTATATATTCTCCATCATATTGTTTCATGATCAGAACAGAAAATGGCCTGATAACTGCTCTTAGACAAATCTGTAATGAAGCTATACAGAAAAGTTGTATGTATGGAACTGAAGATAATCTGTTCTTGGCTTGAGAAGAAATGGCCTTAGGCTTTTAGCCCAGTCTCTAATCTCTTTATAATTTACAAAGCATCTGTGTTTTATGTGTGTCTTTAGACCTGAGTCTGAACTAGAAATGGACCTAATATTAATGTACTGGGCCTTGGAATTTATTTAAATATTTACTCAAATTATACTATACTTCTATTATTTTCACCTTTCCTGTACTTTCTTCAGATCTTCTTTTAACCCCTTTGATTGTCTTCAAATTGTTTTGTTTTAAAAGAAATTACTACATATATACATGTACAAACACATGTGCACATGGACAGACACACTCATACATCTTACTCAGTCTGTACAACATTACTTGTGATTTCAGGTCTGACTATTTGGTATTGTCCGCCAACCACCATATTTTGTATGCTAAGAAAGACTGTTTATTATATATTTTGTTATGTGACTCCTTTGTTTACTTTTTAATACATTTGTCTTAAGTAACTTAGTTAAGATTCCATTATGGTCCAATATACTAAAAGCAATCTCAGAAGAGGTAAAGGAACTGTGATGTCAGCTGTGAACTAACACTGTAGGGGCAAGGGCCCAGAGTCTGGCTAATAAACGTAGTCATGTACACTTTCTTATGAGGGCATGTGCTGCTGCTGAAAAAAAGTTCTTCAAAAAGATCAGTAAGAAAGTTAAGAATGAGAAGAGATACACTAGGACATTTGAGAATAATGGAACACTGCTTGATCTGAATACCAGTGATGGTAGCAATGAAAAAAATATGACCACTGAGACAGACTGTACATAACTCAGGAAGATTATTCACCTTGGTTCCGAGTGCCTCATGATGTAATGTGGGGTTAGACAGCATGTGTTGTGAGAATTCCCAATAGAGAACTCTCAGATCATGTCTCTAAGATGAAAAACAGTATAGAATATAGGGAAGAAGAATACACATACATGACAGGATGACTAACCAATTTTAGAATGTGGGGAATTTGACATTACAAATGATTAGCTCTCTGTATGCATTACAACAGATACATTATGCAATTGGAAATCTGTGACAAAGGTTGCACAAATGAAACTACTCCATGTAATGCTCTCATCTCCTCTTTAGATACAGAGGAACCAGGAATTAAGAAAAGACAGTCTTTCATATCTTGGTGGTTCCACAGGGGCTCTACGCCTCACCAGAACCAAATGTGCACAGCCCCGCCAGTTGCCAAAGCAGGAAAACTCTTCGGACGTGATCTGACTGACATTTGTGAGGACGGCAATCTGCCCACAGAAATTCTGGTAGGTCTTACATGGTTCTTCTATGGCTCCAAAGGACAAAATCCTGCTTCTCCTAAATACCCCCATTTGATTCTATCATCAAGTAGAGAAACGAATGTTCATCTTACATTGGCTTAAGACTAGGAAGCTAAGATGGGGCTATTCACGGAAACCATGTTTTGGAAAAGCTATATCTAATCTCTTTAGTGTAGTGGAAATCTGAGAAAAATAAATGCTGCCTGCGGTTTCAGGGTTGGCATTAAGGTGGAATGTTTTCCACAGGTGGCAGAAGCACCAAATCTGGTACAAAGTCCTCTTCATTGCCAGCTGTTACATTGCACCTGTGCACACCACTGGCCTGGTTCTCAAGAAGAAGCAAACCATGTGCTGTGGAGAGAGTGATGGGTGCTTTCCTTTCTTATTTCAGGACATTCTATCCTTTATTAGTGAAAAGGGGCCAGTCACTGAAGGTATCTTCAGAACATCAGGCGATATAAGAGCATTCCGAGCCCTAAAAGAAAGATTGGATTCTGGGACCAAAGTGAATCTGAGCAATGAAAGTGTCCCTGTTGTGGCATCTATCTTAAAGGTAGGGCGAATCCTCACATCCTCTACAATCATGATTCCTCTGAGTAGTGTGAGTAGTTTCTTCATCATGTTTACTTTTGAAGGATAGTAGACAGGAATGATAGACATCTCATATGCCAAAAGGTTCCTCTGATGTCCACACTTGAGGATTCGAGCATAAACAATGAACAGTAATGTAAAAAAAGAATCTTCAATTTCATTCCTATATCTTCCTCATGGGATACATGTTTCAAAATAATAAGTGGGATTTTTTTGTTCTGTTTTGTTTTTTTTTTTTTTCAGTTCTCCCTGTTCTTTGTTGCTTTCTCTGTTTTTTTTTTCCCATAGAGGCAGGTTTTTCTCCTCCACATATATTTTCACTACACATAGCCAGTAAGATCCCATGATATTTCTGTCTCCCTCTGCATTCATGCAATGTTGGGATCCAAATGCAGGTCCTCATGGCTTTGAAGCAGGCATTCACCCATTACTGAGCCATCTCTTTGGTCCCATAAAATTATATTTTTGTTATTATTAAAATTAAATTACACCATTTCACTCCTCTTTCCTTTCTGTATTTCCCCTTATGTGTCCAACCTCTTCTCAAATCATGTCCCATTTTCTTTAGTAGCATATATATATATATATATATATATATATATATATATATATATATATATATATATCCACAACCTGATGAGTCCACTTCTGCACTATTTCTGAGCCTTCCAGTTGGTATTGGACTACCAGTGAAGTCTTTGGGAAAGACTAATTTTCTGACACTCAGTAGAATTTATGTGTCTGTAGTTCTATTTCTAGAAGTGTGGCTTCATGAGGTTTCCCCACTTCAAGTTAGTGTCACTATGAATGATATTTTTGTTCAGATGTTGTTTATGTAATCATATTGTTATACTATTATGAGTGACACCTCCCCTTCATTTCTAGGAGACTCAATCTCAGAGCTAATTTCCTAGTCCTCTAGATAACAATTTGACTCTCTTAACAATGTTTCCTGAGTCCAAGGTTTAGGAGTTTTGTTGTATATGTCCCCATTGTGGCTAGGAACCACAGGATCTTCTATTCTCTGTGTTTGAACAGTTGTGGTTTTCTGTAATAGTATCCAACAAAGAGAGACTACTTTGATGGGTGGGTAAGAGCTACACTTTCTGCATTCATATAAATATTTAGAATACATTCAGGAATTATTCTTGTTTAATGCAATGGTGACAAGAGCTTCTCTAAAAGCCATGACCTGGCTATCCCTGAATAGGTGTAAGGTTTACAGTACCAGGCATGATTTCTCTGCTGCTGAGAAATCAGATAATTTACTATGATTGTCACTGTTGTGGTTCAAAGGTATAGCTGTGTAGGATTAGTGTTTCATGTAACTATTATGAGCTTGGGAGTCTCTTTTTAGATGTTTGTCAAGTCACCCAAGGACAAGTTCCTCCATGAAGCTCCTCTGGATATGTCTGTGCTCTAACCTGTTTGCCAAAGACTAATTTGAGTTTGGAATACTGAAACTTTAATTGATGCATGCAAAAATGAGTTATACAATAAAAAGACAGCCGGATGTTGGTGGCACATACCTTTAATCCCAACATTTGGGAGGCAGAGGCATGTCGATCTCTGTGAGTTCAAAGGCAGCCTGGTCTACAGAGCTAGTTCCAGGACAGGCTCCAAAGCAATATAGAGAAACCCTGCCTCGGTCTCCAAATACACACACACACACACACACACACACACAGAAGATAAAACCTAAATTATATAAGTTTTTTGGAGGGGGAAGTATTATAATAAAAATTCATATTTATGCTTATCAACATGTCCAAAATATATTGATATTCTAATGGCTTCAAACATATCTCTAAAATTAATCATCCCTGTTATATAGTATTTCTGTGACCACATTATGATCTGGATATATACAATAAATTTCAACAGTTCAGAAATGGATTAGAGTAGATGAAATAACACATAGTATAGGTGTATAAAGTAGTTGGGTATTGCCTCTGAGTGTTACACAATTGAAATTGATTTGACTATATAGGAACACATATATTAAAAACTCTAAACTTTCTGTCATAATACTACTTCACATTCTAAAAAAGTAGCCTAGTCTACTATTAAATAGAATCAGCATCACATAGAATCTTCCATTGAGCTGTGTAAGTGCAGTAACTCAACAGCAATTTTCCTTGGCATACCTTAGCTTAGGAATTATCAGAGGATAACCATATTCTGAGAAAATATACATGTTCATTGACATAAGGCCGAAATGATAATGCCCCCTCCCAGACTATCTGCACCAGCCACAGTATTTGCTGTTTCCAAGTACTGAGACCCATTTGTTAAAAATATGTTGAACAATGCGAACTGCCAAGGTGTTTTTTTGTTTATCTGTTATATACTAATGATATAAGGAGATGGAAACTGGTTTCTTCACTCAACTACCTTAAACCATGCCTGGCACATGTGCCAGCTCTAAAACTACTTGATAGTTTTAGATTATTGATAACTGAATAACTACTGAAGTGTAATGATAAAAGTTAACTTGGTACATTTCTTGAAAGTTAAATCCTTGAGACCACTACAAACAGCATGTGTCTGGAAACTGTGATTAGAAATCTTCTGGGTTTTTGAATGACTAAAATGAATGTTCCACTCAGTTTTAACTAACAAGGAATTATACAGGTTGCTGACTTGCCTAGGTTAATCTCTAACTTGAGATTTACATTTTCCTCTCCTGAGTTCTGAGATTAGAAGTGCATACCAGTATGCTTTCCATGTATTATGAAGTGTCACATGCTCCATTTGTGATATTTGACAGTCATTATACAAAGACACACACATTCCATTTCCTCCACCACTTACAGAATGTTACTAGAAGCATTTTCTTTTAGGGAATACAGCAAAGGAAAGAAAATCCAGGCTCACTCAGCTTATGAGTATGGGTCCATTCAATTAGACCACATGTTTCAAAGACATTGGGGTGAGAAGCAAAAAGCCATTGATCATGAAGAAATGACCATAATGTGTATGTTTGTCATTTATAAATGGGAGTTGATCTGAGTGGTGATGGTGCACCTTTAATCCCAGCACTCAGGATGCAGAGGCAGGCGGATATCTGTGAGTTTGAGGCCAACATGGTCTACAAAATGAGTTTCAGGACAGACTCCATAGCCACATAGAGAAACCCTGTCTCAAAAACCCAAGAATAATAAAATAAAAATGGGATTTGAGATGAGGTATTGATCTCTTAAGTGTGTGCTAGTTTACTCTATGTAAAATCTGCTCTTAGGTTTCTGAGAGCTTTGTGGACAAAACTTGGTGGGTCTACATGTCAGACAAGGTTCCAACTAGGGGACAGGTTGGGAACTAAGAACATAGCTGGAACTAAAATGAATTTTACTTTTGAAAGTATTTTGAGTAATTTCTGTGACTTATATTTTCCATATAATATTTTTTCTATGTATGTAAGGAGTTTCTTCAAAACATAAAAGGAAGTGTGCTGACATCTACACTATATGATAAATGGCTTGGTGTCCTTGACCAAGCGTGTGAAGAGAAGAAAGCAGCTGCAGTGCAGAGGTAATGGTTTACTAATGGCTTGAACAGCATTAACAAAAGTAGAAGTAATGTTTGCTTGCTTAGACACATTAGATTATATACCACAGAAGTATTTACTAAAAATATTAACTGACAAACAGAAGCATTTTGAAAAGAGGAGTATGACTGGGGGGGGGAGGGTCACAGTGATCCATGCTTGTAATCCCAGCATTAATGTTTATGTGTGTGTGTGGGGGGGGAGTGTATTTCCCAATTAAATTTCTCTATTTTGGGGGGAACAATATTTCAAGCAATATTTACAGGACTCTCATTTTATTCTCAGAGCACTATGAATAAGATACAGATAATTCCTATATTACATGAATGAAATGTATTGTTTTAAAATAACTTGTCTCTGTGTTCAGTCTTTTAGAGCAACTACCCCAACCTAATGTCATTCTTTTGAAACAACTTTTTGGGATATTATATAAAATTGAGAGAAACTCGGAAGTCAACCATATGACATCATCTAATTTAGCTGTGTGCATCGCCCTAAGTATTCTATGCCTGCCTAGTTCCTACAACTCAGGATTGGCAGATGTCTCCAAAAAGGTAATGAGACAAATATATTATGCCTATGGTAAACAAGTATTAAAAATGAGACAGGAATAAAGGATTATCCTGAGAGTCTGTTTTTTTGTTTGCTATTTTTTCTAAGTCCAGCCTTAATTTTCATTCCTCAAGAAGGGAAGAATCATTGGTGTGTTTAGAGTTAGAAGAATTTAAATGGGTATTTGTGCCCAGTGACTTAGTCTTTTGTCAATTGTGATCTAGAATATTGTTAGACTAACACCCTGAGAGCAAGTGTTGTCAAATGATAAAAAAAAAAAAAAAAAAAAAAAAAAAAAAAAAAACATGGGTACTGGCTTCAGAAACCAAGACTGAATCCTGATGACATCACTGAGGGATATGTGAATTTCTCCTTGTTTTCAAGGAGGCAATGTGGATTGCTTTTATCAAATACGGTTGGTCTGAGGCTTGCTTAGAATGACTACAGATATTTTTGGCCTTCTGTTGCTGATTATGGTTGGAGTACAGAAATTCTTGAGTATACTTTCCTATGGTAGGCACCTTTCAAATACTGTAATAAAACCCAGAATTTATTCAGTATAAAGATCAAGTGGTTGTTTGACTCTTGGTATTTGAGTTTCTGATTTTGTTTTGATTGAGCAATTGCTCTTGGACTTATAAGAAGTACATTGCAGGAAGGCCTGACTATTGTTGGTTGCTTTTACTCTTTGCTCTTTTAATCCTTGGGTGGAGTCTCATTCTTTCTTATGGATGCTCATCCTTAGTTTGGCTTCTTTCTAGCCAGCTTCCTTAACTGAATTTTTCCAGTCTATCTTTTGCCTCTGGGCTTGTAACTTTTTCCTATTTACCTTTCTCCATGTCTTTCTGTGGTGGATGGACCCTGAAGTCTTCCTTCTCCCCTTGTTCTTAGATCTTACTCCTCCCAGATTTCTCCTATTTATTATCTCTGCCCCCTCCCCAGATCTGCCTATCCCTCTTCCTGTCTTGCTATTGGCTATTCATCTCTTTGTTAGACCAATCAGGTGTTTTTCAACAGGCAAAGAACACAGCTTCACAGAGCAATATAAAGAAATGCAACATATCTTTGCATTATTAAACAAATATTCCACAGCACAAACAAATCTAACACATGTTAAAATCATATTCTACAACACCTGACTCAGGTAATCTTTTTCTCATACTGTGTAGCATCAACGAATGGAAGAGAAAGATAGAGTTCCAAACAACCTGCTATTGCATCTCCAATATCCAATTCCCTCCAAATGAGCATCACTCAAATGTCTCCCAATATAATAAACATGTGGGTCAAGCTCTTAACATTGCATCTGCACTGAGCAATCAGAGACACTTGGGTGCTGCTGCTCAGTTGGTTTTGCCCGTCTTTTCTTTCAACAGGATGGTGCCCACATTCCTTGTAGGCATCCTTACATGCTTATGCATGTCTGTCACAATTGGAACAAAAGTTAGTCAATTCAATACTATATACCAGCCATCACCATGGGAACACTGGAAATCATCCTCTCCTATAGTATTGCACTGTGATGATCAATTTTAACATATGATCTAAAAATATGCTTTCATATGTCTAGCAGAAAACACCCCTCTAATTTATACATGCTGACATTTTCTTAGAACTTTGAACTACATACTTTTAGCCTCAAGACTCATATATCAATTGCAATTTACAACCATGTGAAATGACAGAGACCCTTTGTGTTTGCCTCATTTTGACACAGATTTCACTTGTCAATTTCCTTATTGAGAATTATCCAAAAATATTTGAAGACATTCCATTTCATTATGAGAGCTCATTTGCTTGCTCTGATGAGGAGAAGGCTTACAATTCCCTGAACACTCTTACTGACAATGTTGAAATGGAGGTAAAAGAACATGAAGACAACCCCTGTCCCAGTGGGAGCACATGCCCCACAGGCAATGATGCAGTGTGCAGAAGTCCAACTGTTCCTCTTAACAATGAGGGAATTATAGGTACGTACAGATGTTCTATTATCATAACTTAAACATTAGAATTATTTAGTACCCAAATTAGTACATTGCGCAGCAATGGAAGTTTACTAAAACCACTGTGAAGTGAATCTTAACCTGTTTTATGGATGTTTCCTGTTGTTAGAAACTGCCTACAAATTTTCATTCCTTCTTCATACTGGTCATGAATGTATGTAGGATGTAAGTCGTACAGGTGCCAAGTACACAACTGAAATAAAATACATGGAAAATGTTATTTACCGTATATCTTGACTCCTGAATTGATTTTTACAATACTCAGAATAGCCACTCAGGTTTTTTCCATTCAGGGTTTTTCTCCATGTAACAGCCCTGGCCATCTTGAAACTCATTTTGCAGACAAGGCTAACCTCAGAGAGATCTTCTTGGCTATGCCTACTGAGAACTGGGATTAAAGGAGTGCATCACCATGCCTGTCTCTTTTTCAAGTTTTAGTATATACCTCTCCATAGGGGAGAAGTAGACACTATGATCTCAAATTTGATCTCATAGTTCAAGGGGGAAACTGCAGTCAGGTAAGTTATGTGATGAAGCACAGATATTGCTGTTAAATGAGAGCCTCAGAGCTGTCCAGTCAAGAAATCACACAGGGGGACTCAGATTGTATACTATATCATTGGTTGATTCTCATACCCGTATGTATAGCTTTCAAGACAAGCACCAGAATTTACTGATGATAGCATGGGCCATATACAACAAGATATCAAGTCACTCATGATTCAGTCTCATTATTACAAATGTTGCAATATTGGTTATTTTCTGTGTATTATGGTGATGCAGAAGGTATGTAATGAATGAAATGAAAAGTACATTCAAGGGTTAAGTGAGTTCAATTACAAAATTCAGCAATTTTCCCTTCTTTTTCAGATCCTGAAAAAGATGTCAAAAAATCTTTTATAATTCCAGTGATTACAAGGGACTCTGAGACCAGCCCAAACAACATGTGCTTAATCCCACCAGAACCAAAAGAGGAGCACCCCATTGAAAATATCCACACCCCACCAGCACCAAAAGAGGAAAATCTCATTGGAAACTCTGACAACACACCAGCACCAAATGAGGAACATCTGTAATTGGACTTTAACTGTCCCAACTACCTGCTCCCAAATACCTGGCAGCTACTTTCCAAATTGTAAATGCTCAGCCAATAGCTCAGGCTTGTTACTAACTAGCTCTTACAACTTATAATAACCATTTTTATTAATCTATATATTGCCACATGGCTTGTGGCTTTACCTATCCTCTAGTATGTCTTGCTTTCTGGGCAACTGGCTGGCATTTCTCCTATCTTGCTCTTCTTCTGCCCATCATTCGCACTTTTGTTTCCTGCCTAATATTTTGCACAGCTACCGGCCCACCAGTTTTTTATTAACCAATGGGAGTATTACATATGCATAGTGTAGAAAAGAATTTTTCCACAGCAAGCACCTGAATGGAAATTCTGGCACTCCACATGCACCAGTCGAAGAACACCTCATTGGCAGTTCTAACATCCCATCACCAGCAATGAAGAGACAACTCTTTGGAATGTCTTTCCTGAGTGTTCATGAGGATGGCAATCAGCCTACTCCAATCATCGTGAGTTTCACTTTAGGTTTCTACAGCACTTTTCAGCATAGTTTCTGAGAACCTCTGTTTTCAGTGAATTATAAAACTGATGCATGTTTAGATAACCCATCCATGAGGGTGAGATCCTTTTACAATAGTGCCTCAAAGAATTTAATCCCGCTGAAACTAGAGATATTTAATTCAAGAAATGAGAAAAGAACGAACAAAGACCATAATAACAAAAACCTACACTATTCCATGTCTCCCACTAATTTCTACAAAGACTCAAACCCACCAGCTTGTTGGAGGAGATGGGTCTATTGGTGAGACCCTCTGAGGCCCCAAACCTCAACCCTTCTGCCTTTTTTCATGATTCCATGGGATCTTCATTAATATCATTGCATCTGAGATCATTCCATATTATAATTCAAAATATGTAGAATGTTTTGTTTTGTGTTACAATGGAATTATGCATTCTAAAGTTCTGTTCTGTGCTATATATTAACATTTTCATCCTAGTAGAATGTATTTACAAGCCACCTAATAGGGCATGAGATATTTTAAATATGAGTCAATTGCTTTTGAGAATATATATTTATTGTGTGTCATTCATTTTAGCACTATACTCTGTGTCAGGAATTAATGTTGCATGTAAACAAGTTTATCATGTGAGATACATGATAATTACTGCCCACACCTTGTGTATTTTACAATATTTTCTGGTAACCATGAATATAATCATCCCAATTTTGATACTAGAGAAAATATTCAGTAAGGTTATATATGGTACTCATTTTTACGTACTGAAACCATGGAAGAGGAATTTAAATTCCCTTGGTTTCCTGACTGTGACAGCATCTTATGACATTGATAGTTAAGATTAAGAAGTCACAGACAAAGGAAATGAAAACGTCAAAGGAAGTGTAATGAAATAAAGCTTTTCTTCTTAAGATTCAGAGTGCAGGACAGACAGGAAGTAATTATAATGGTTGGGGCACTGGACGGGAAAATATCATTAGTAACTGAGAATGGCATGCTTGAGAAAGACATTCATAGAAGAGAAGGCAAAATAAGAGGGGACCATCCACCCAAATGCTTGGGAAACAGAAGTATGATCCATTGCTGAGGAATAACTGATTACAACAATACCCTAATGTTTCAAATTTGGAAAAATTAAATAGGGAGAAAATCGATTTGGAAGCAAAAAAGAGAGAAACAAAGGGAAAGGAAGAAAAGTTCAAAATCTTTATTCCTTCCAGTTTTAACTCTGCAGCAGTGCTTGCCATTGCTCTGGTTCACAATAGGAGATACACTAGTGCTTCAACCTGTGGATCTGTAACAATAGATGCTTGTCTATCTCACACAGGACAGGTTCTCTATTGATGAAAAGGAACCATATAAGGAGAAAGTCTTCAGGAAAACAGTCAACAGATCCTTCTAACCTCAAAGTAAAGCTTGATTCTGGGAAGGAAGTCAACTTGAGTGAGGAATGGGTCATTGTTGTAGCATCTGTCTTAAAGAAAGTAAAAAAGTTTTGGCATCCTTCACACTCAGCATCTCTCTAGAGAAGCACAAATCCTTTCCTTCCTAGAGAGAAGGTAGTTTCCTTCAACAAGATGACCTAAGGATAAGAGGCATGGATGATAAGTCTGAGAAGCTAAGGATTCATCACAAAGACACAGTTAAAGAACATTCTGTTAGAAGTTAACTTTCCCATATGTTAGATCTGCTTTGGTTTGCCATTGCAAAGGACTCCTTTGATTTCAACTCTGACCACACCATGTGAGGTAATAACAAAACAAGTAAGAATAGTGGTATAATTGTGACTTACAAATCATATTTTAAATCATGTATGCCATATATTCCTTAAAAAGTACCAACAGTTCACCTGTAACAGGTTTGCAGAGAATTTATGTTGCCCTCTATCCACAACATACATGAAATTGTTTCCTTCTCTACCAATAATAATAATAATAATAATAATAATAATAATAATAATAAGCAAGTACTTTTGCATTTTCCAGATGTTGTCATCCTAATCCCATGTTAGATAACCAAGAATTAGACTAGCCTACTCAAGAATATCCTACCACATTGAACTTGCCATGGATCTGTCTATAAGTAGTGGCTCTAGAGAAAATACCATTGGTTTATTTTAATTGGTCCTTGTTGGGAGTTAACCACTCCATAGACTCTGTAGCTATGGCCCCAGACATCAAGGGGAGAGATAAAATTTGCCAGAATTAACAGTTTCCAACATTCAAAATCAGGTATATTGTTAACACAAGTAATTCTTTGTGTAGAGTTAAGCTGAGGTTCACAGTTGATCTTCTTTATTTGAAAATATTTGTTTCATTGATTTGAGGAAATATATAGAAAAACTCATTTTATATGAATTAATATAAATATATAATTAACAATATTTGTATCAAGATGACTGTTTATGTTTCATTTAGCAGTGAGCAACAGAACAACTTCTGAAGGTCATAGTGTTCTCTAGAACCAACAATTGGAGGATCACTGAGTCAGCATCTGGATGGCCAAGCTATCTTCCTGCCCTCGATTTCCCCAGTAACTGGAGACTTGAATCCCCAGAACTCCACTGGGCTACATCCTTTTCTTTCTATATTATTCCACTGACAGCTATTTTTGGAAGCCACTTACAGCATTTATCAGAATTTATTTGAATCTTCTGGTTTTTTCCTGAAATGAGAATTCCTTTAAACCGTATTGACTGTACCACCATCAACCAAGAGAAACTCAAAGTGATGCTTTTAGAGTATGGACTTTGGCACTGAGTAAGAACTTCTCAATTTCCAACTCATTCCGTTCCATGTGAGGGTTTCCTTCTACCTCCCACTTATCCATAATTCATAAAAGCTTATTATATGGCTTATTATATTCCTTCTGTTCATCTATGTTAGTTACCAATATTGTTTTACTTATTTTTATTTTGTGCTGTATATTACATTCTTTATTGTTATAATAAATGTCATTCAATAATTTGATTGCTTAGACTTTTCCTTGATTCTCTATAGTCTGGCTAACTTCTCCTCTACCTCATTAACTCAGAGCCACTAGAATCACATCATTAGTCTTTTCTTTGAACTCCCATTACATGAAGGGATTTAAGAAACTGGTTTTCTCCATAATCCCTTCAAGTTTCATACTTAGTTTAGTAGGTCTGACAATACTATTTACAAAGGTAATATCCTGGTATTCTTAACTAAAGACAACCTTATATTTTATGGGTTCATAAGGGAAGTATTTCCAGTCTGTAAATTCAAGGCTTCAAATAATTAACACGATTAGGTGGTGTTTGTGTGTGTGCATTGTTAGCATCTCCAGCCTCCTTACAACTTCATCAAGTAAGTGTAATTAATTGGTTTTGTAAAATCACCACAGAATTTATTCTGATATACTCATAGATACCACTTTTACCCCTTTGAAAGTCACCAAATGGTAATCACACAAGCATGAAGATAAATGGAACTGCTGGAGCCTGTGAATCTGAAAATTATAAATCAGACAGCTCAAAGGTTGAACATGGAGCACATGGCTGTAGAGATACAAACACAAAGACTTCTGAATGTTCTGTTGCCAGGAAAGAACAACGCTGACTTCTTCCAATAAATCCACTGGTTGAATTCAGTTTGCAAGTATTGTACTGAGAATTTCTTTACTTATATTCATAAGGGATATTGATCTACAATTTTATTTTTGTTGAGTCTTTATGTGGCTTTGATATCAGGGTTATGGTGGCTTAGTAAAAAGAATTAGGAAGTTTGTCTTTCAGTCTCTCATTTGAGGAATAATGTGAGGCATACTGGATGAGTTCTTTAAGGCCTGGTGTCATTCTGTGCTGAAACTGTTTAGCTCTGGATATCTGGGGTTGTGAGATTTTTAATTAGTGCTTCTATTTCACAAGGATTATGGGTCAGTTTAAATTGTTAATTTCATCTTAAACTTAATGGATCACATATGTTGTTCTTTAGTTACAGTTATAGGAATAAAAACTAGAGAAGGGGGCGGGGGTGAGTGGTCATAGGTGAGAGTCCCAAGTGAGTGCAGTCCCAAGGTAAGCAACCACGTGGGAGAGTATAGCAGGTTGCATTTCTGGGGAGGGTGACTCAGGTGGGAGGGAATAACACATCAGGCAGATAGAACTTAAATGAGGAGTTTATTTAGAAAGGGGAGTGAGGAAGAAGGGAAGAGACATAGAGGCACCAGGAACAGAAGAGGAGAGAGGGGGAGAGACAGAGAAGGAGAAAAAAAGAGGGGGATAGATGGTGGCCAATGGAAAGTAGGAGAGAGAAGAGAAAGCAAAAGAGAAAGCAAAAGAGTGCGAAAGTGGGCAGGGGTCTGAGTTTTAAAGGGGTCCTTTACACCTCCCTGCAGATTAGTACTCATGGAACCCTGGGCTGACCAGAGTACTGCTTGAGTGCATTCTGCCAGGTGACAGGGGCAGGCCAGCACAGCGTAATGCCTGAATCCTTACAACATCCATTTTATTTGTTTTCCACTT